CAGCAGTTCCCTCATAACTCTTCTGGTAACAGTTCTTGTTCATTGTTTGTCCCCTATTTAGTGGTACGAGAATACTGAACTAGATGACCTCAGCACAAATAACATCCACCTTGTAGGCTTGCCTGTGGGTGGGGAGGTTTTCGGCTGCTGCCACCCCCTCTGCCTTGACAGAAGTCTCAAATTGCTTAAACTTTGATGCAGTTTAGTGGGAGGTTCTTTTCATGTTTGAAAGTTAGCTGCTATTACTCAGTTATTTCTATTAATATATTTTCTGGTATGCTAAATGAATGCAAAACTTGAAATAGCCACATCTTTCTATTTGCTAGATGTGATGCAAGCATGAGGCTAGTATTTTTAAGCAAGGAGTAGTAATCTCTGGCTTTCCCCAGGAAGCTCATTTAAAGCGACTTGAGGTAACATGGGAAGCAGTAGTCCACTTTAAAGCTGGTAGTCCTTTGGAAATATATGCAGTCCCATTCAGTTTGTAAATGGAGTCCCACCAAAAGGCAGTCTTTCTGGTGTTCCACAAAATAAATCCTGTCACTCTTTCCAGCATGCTAGTAGTTTCATTTCACATGTAGAATGGATTTCTAGCTTATGACAAGATTATATTTCTTGTATAAATGCGTAGTTTTTATTGAGGAGATAGTTCTTGTTTTGGTGGGACAAAAAGCCTTGGTGCTAAAATAATTGAGATGGCAAGTTTGCAGGAACCCAGTATCAGAACCCAAACTAGGCAAAGGGCTAAAAATGCACCTTAAGGACCATGAGTCAGAGTAATTTGAGCTGACAGTAGCCAGGATTGTTTTATATATGAAGTTCATAAAATAGCAAGTTGGTTTCTTGAGACTGGAAAAATACTAAAGGGGTACATTTTTGCTGCAGTTGCTAGGGAGCTGCTTATGCTCTATTTGTGGGGTATAATGGGAGTCATGTGTGAAATGCACTACACTGATAATTTGTCTCAAACTGGTTTGAACTGCATATTATATTCACAGAGCACATCTCATTGTACAAGTGCAGATGATGAGATGGATGATGTTAGTAATGTTAGGTGACAGAGCCACTGTGGTATACAAGGTACAGTACATGTGTCAGTAGGCTGTCAAGAGCATGACATGCCTAAATGATTCGTAGGTAAGGGCATGATTCTACCTATGTTATTTGGGAGACAAGCATGCTGTCATTGGAATTCATTTTTGTTGAAAATGCTGCCTTAAAAGTTTTGTATTCTTAAAACTACAGATTATATAACCATATTATTTCATTTTTTCCTAATATAAAGCATTTCCAAAAATTATCCAAATATCATTAAATACTTCAATTTTAATATCGTATTTAAAATTTCAAAAAAATAATATTTCCTTATTGAATCAAGACAATGATACTGTCTTGAAGTTTAAATTAATTGCTTTGCTCCTTTGAGCAGCGATGAACATTTTTCTCCTATGCTGTATGCAGAGATCAAGTGTGTTTTCCTCAGCAATTACGGCATTTGTTCAAAGTGAATTAGAAAATCAAAAACATTAGGAACTCTCTTTAATGAGATGATTAAAGAACCAGGCGAGCAGTGTGATATTCAAAGGAAAATGAAAGGTATTTCTTAGCACTTTTAGACATTGCAGAAATTCAGATAGGACACAAGTTGTGCTGCATAGTTAAACTGTCACAAAGGTTTGCAGCGTCTCAGAAATTTGCTTGACACAACTATGTTTGTAGTTGTAGGTCAGTTTCCAGGCTCAGCTGCTTCACCTTGAAGAATGCTTTCAGTAAGCAACCTCGCTGTGAGCTGTCTGAAAACATGATGTTATTTCTAACAGCAATTTGAAACTCACTAGACCCAGCCTTCTCAAAACTTTGTAGGCAGGTTATTGACAAATGCATACTAACAAAATGCAACTGAAGCTGTGACAATGTAGAGTAGCCAAAGTTTGTTTGTTTAGTTTTTGTTATAGTTCTCTTTTGGAGATTAACTTCTGTCTGTTCCAAATAGGTTTTTTTTTCTTCTCTAGTCAACCTTTGGGTATTTGACTCTTCCTTTAGAGCTTCCTTCCACCAGTCTATAAATTCTGCAATTTTTCATAGAAGTCCAATTGTTGTGGTTTTCTTTCTCTCAAATAGATCTTCTCATATTGAGGCAACATCTCAAATTGATTCTAAGAGCTCTGTTCACTGTTCAGACTTTGTGTGATTCCTTCATTTGAACAGATTTGTTCCAGGCACATTGTACAGAGAAACAATTGCTTAATTTAAGAAATGTTCCAAATTTAATCAAATACAGGAGCCTCCTTTGGAACATTTTACCATTTTCTCTTATTCTCATTTTTCTTAATTCATTTCTTTCTGACTTATATACTTTAATTGTTGTTTTTTATGAGTCATTTAGTTATTTGGGTTTGTTGTTACAAACAAAACTTATAAAACTTATAAAACTCCAAAAAGAGATGGGCCTCTTCATCGTTTAAATCAAAATTCTGTTGATCCTTTTCCTGAAGTCCAGCACTAATTTATTAGCATTTTTATGTGTGAAACGATTTAAAGAAAAAAAAAAAAAAAGTTGCAAATGCAGGGTAAGATGTCAGGCATTCCCAGACATCATCCAGACATCATACTCTATTTTTTCTCTTTCTTAAAAAATGAAATATTTTTTTATGCCTGCCTGATGTTCAGGTAAACACAAGGGGCTTTTATGTCAGCTTGTAGTCAACTGATACTCTGCTAGAGTTAGTCCTAGTGGCTGAATTCAGAGAAATCTGTAATAGCAACGTAGTGTAAGTTCCAGGTAAGTTCCAAGATAGCCATATACCACTGCAAAATGGAACATCCATCAGAATCACATTGGATTTTAGTGCCATTCTCTAATTATTGATAGTATTATATGTGGTATTACCATTATTGTATGCCATATATATTTATAGAATATTATAGTATTTTATATATAGTTACATATATGTAGCTTTGATCCCTTTGCAGTATGCAGTGTAAATGCAGCTAAAAACAATGGCCCATTCTCAGCAAACAAAAGCACTACATTGTTAATGATTCAATCCATGTTATATATGAATTTTAGGCTACTTTGGAATTTGTAGTTTTTACACTCAAAAAAAAGCATGTTTAATGGAAGATAAATATTTTCTAGTAAGCTGTAGTTTTATGGACCTTAGGTTCAACTTTGATGAGCTTGTTGACAATCTACCGATTTCTCTCTACCTTGGAAAATCTCTTAGGTCAACTGAGATTTCAGTGTTTCATCATGGATACAAACTGTAATCTCAGTGTGATTATTGATGTTGCGCAGACAGTCTGAAAACTGTATTTGCATTTCCAGAACTCTTCCACTTCTACTTCAAGTAGGTTACTGGAAAAATATTCTAAAAGTTTGCTTGTCCAAAAGGATGTAAGAGATTAGCACACGGTGGTAACCTTTTTTATATCCTAACTATCAAACTGATGGTTTTGTGCATTAGTGAAGTGAAGTGTATATTTTGTGGAGATCTGCACAGACTTTGTAGAGAATAAGACTTTGGACAATACCGGGATTTTCAGGCTGTACTGAGGGAAAAGCACGTAGGAATAGATAAACAGCACTCTAATTTTATCATTCTCTACACTTTTGTTGGGAACAAAATCAAGTGTGCTTTGGCACGGAGCTGTTAAAACCCAGATACTTACAAAAGGCAAAATGAATATCTGTGAAACCAGTTTCCAGAGGAGCAGCCACCTGAAGTGTATGCACTCATATGCAGATCCCTGGTTCTCCCAGGGAAATGCTCAGGAATTTGAATGCAGCGTAGCAAAGATATTGCGGTTACTGCTTCTGCTTCCATAAGCATGTTGGCTGCAAGGGTGAATTGAAATGTTGGGTTGATACAGCTTGAATTGACGGTAATAGTCCTGTAAGGAGTAAGAGTTAAGAGTTGCCATAATGTGACTCTGCCAGTGGTGCAACTCCCGTGTCGGAGCAAGAAGTGCTGCGCAACTAGCTTGGATGGTTTACAACACATATGGATGATTCTTAGATGTCCAGAGGGAGCAGCTTTGTAACGAGTACGTAATTCAAAGCTGTAATGTCATGGCTAAATTCTGGCACCTTGTCTTTAATGGCATGTATTGTATTTTCTTAATGCTAGACCATTCCCAATGAACCTAAATAGTTAGCAGAGTATATTCCTGGTGCAGATAGTAGCCAAAGTGCAAACAAAATCATACAAGTTGGTATGAATGTACTGGTGGTCAGTATTCAGAAAAAAAATAATTCACACAACTTTGTGTATGTATATGTTTATGCTACGGGGGGATAAAGCTGCATGATTTTAGAAACACTGGTGATCATGCTGATGGTACCTTTCATTATTCGTGCTGGACATCAAGGTGATTAAAATAAAATAGATATTCAACTGCTCGTTTCATTTTTGTGACTTGCTCCTAATCAAGATATAATCCCTTTTCTCATGGGTTAATCACACACACAAAGCAACTTACTTTCTCAGTATTATACTGCAAACATCTTTCTTCCAGTATGTTTTAAATGTTTTTGTTAGAAGATAAAGTCCTCCTCACTTATGTCTGCTTTAAATATCTAAATCAACAAAACCAAGTACTGCAATTGAAGCAGGATTTGAAGAATTCTGAGAATGTCAATTATCGAGAAAAAGGTTTTCACAGTATATATTTTTTTTAGAATTTCTGCTAAGGAAGGTGAAAGAACAAGAAAGGGATTTAAAGAAAAAGAAAAAGAAATGATGTCTCAATTAGCATGAAAGCAAAAATTTGTGCTAAGTCTCAATATAAACTCAGGTCAAGTGCCTTTCTCTGAAACATGAACATAAAATTTCTTTTTTAATCTTCTGTCCATATCACATTCATAACAGACTTTTTTTATTTCGAGTCTTTAGAAATTTGAAATTGTGCAAATCCCGGAGTATCTTGGGAAGGAACCTTCAGAAAAACAAAACAAAACAAAAAAATCCTTGAACTGTTTAAAGACATAAGAGAACTATAAAAAGAAGTAAAATATTAGTCCTTGAAGGGATTTTTGTAGTCATAATGGATGTCTAGCTTTAGTCTCTTTGAAAGATAAATACATGTTAGAAAAATTGTAACAAGGAAAACTAATTTGAAAAGAAATGTTGCTCATTTATGAGTTATGTTGGTGCCGACAGACTTCTAATTAATGAGAGTAATAAAACCAGTATTCATTGGAAGAACCACAATGAAATCAGAGTTTAATCTTCAAACAATCTTTCTCTTTCCAAATCATGCATTTGTTTCCCTTACTTGCTGGAGTAGCACTGAACTTGGGTAGCATCTGCGTGTCAAAAGCTGAACTGTGGCTGGCCAAGAGAAGTCTGGGGAAGGAGGTTCCCTCTGTTCTATTTAGCAGCAGGAGGCTGAAGCTGGGGGCTGCTTCAGACAGGTGGCACTGGAGCTGCTCAGGAACATGGCCTAAGGCAGTGTGCCTCTGGGGCAGTGCACACAGTGTATGCGCTTGGTGATGCATTAAAAGGATGGCCTTGCTGCACTGAAGTGATCTGGAAATAATAAACACAAGTAAATCACCTTATTCTGCCATTACATCATTAATTTCCACTGCTGTGCTTACCACAGTTGTTTTATAACTCATAATTTCAAATTTTTCATATTATGAATTTGTAACGGTTAACAGGTTGGATCTTGAGATGTACACTGAAAACTGCTTCTGACAGAAGGTTCTCAGGGAATCACCCATGACCTGGTTATGAACCACAGGAACTTTGCGCGTAGCTGGCAAAGAGTTGCTTTGATCAGTCTGTCCTGGCTAGGCTAATGATCACTGGGCCATAGCAGTGACTTATTCTTTCCACTTGTGGGAGGCTGAGTGGGGTCAGCCAAAGTTACACACAAGCACTGAAGAATTTAAGCTGAGTTGTGTAAAAGCTATGTAGTGCCAGCCTACCCAGGGAGTTACCACCTACTCCTCTCTACTCCCATATTGGCTACTCTTTTTAGAAACAGAAAAAAAACGAAATTTTGCAGTTATGCTTTTAGTAAGTGTGAACAGAAGATGACTGGTGATGGCCTTCCTTCAACTTGTTGCATGCCTCATCAGTAACAGTTACTGTCTTCTCAATTTAACATTTGCTTTTAAAAGGAAAGTAGGAAAGCCCATTTCATAACCACATCGTTTTTTACCCCTGCAAATTCTGGAGATGCTGAACAGGGCTGAACATCACATCCTCTATATGGTCATGTTTGTTTAGCATAGGCTTGGGTTTGTTGTTGTTCTTTAGCTGCAAACTAATTTTAAGGATGCTTGTGATCAACATCCTTGATGATAAATGAAGCAGGTAAACAAAGAAGACAGAGCTCTTTTTTTGCTCTGCTGAAGTGTGGTACAGTAAGAATGATAGCATCCATAAAACAGCATGGTCATTTGAAATTCTATATTTTTTTGCTGCTGTGTTTGGTATTGTAAGATATGGGGCCAGGACAGAACACCAAAATTATTCATCCCAAGACCTGAACGAAAAGCAGAGGGCTTTCTGTTCAACTATTTTTTACAATAGACACAAGGACCTTTCAGGAGCTTCATAGAGGAGATCCCTTCTACGCCTACATTAGAGAACCAGAAGTGTAAACAACGCAGTTCTGCCTCTCTTTCCAGGAAGACTGGCACATTATATTGATTAAAATGGGCAAAATAAAGGTCTCTAAAGCTGTAAACTTGTCATGTGTATTCAGCATGCTTTTTGTCCACATATCTGGCTGCAAACCTCCTGCATAACTTAAGTGCCCGAATATTTTTTGGCCATACCCAACAAGCAGATATTAGCCAGAGGTGTCTTTTTTGGAGAAGAGGACTATACCGAACATAATAATCTTCAGGAATCTTATTTAGAGTCATTGCTCACTTGAATTTAAAAAACAAATAAATGTGTTTCTAATAAAGATATATTTTTCTGACTGATAACAGTAGTTAAATTTTGCATCATTTTTTCATCAAAATCAGTGACCCTCCAGATACTTCTAATTTATGTTTTGAAACACTGTTAATGCGGTGAAGATTACTGTTCTGCCATTTGGTTTTTGTTCCACATCTGGTGACAGAAAAGACAGCTGTGATGTATGAGTACTGTACAGGAGTCCTTGGCCCTGCCTCCAGCCCTTTATCAGTTGAAGCGTAGAACTTTATGGGGGGCAGTTGGGCTTCTGAACCTTTTAAAAGGGCCTCTCCCTCTGACAGGGAGGTGTTACGTGTCATTCAAAAGCTGTTTCAAACAGCAAGTTAAGAAATAGAGTTAAGAGATGTGGAAAGCAGTTGCTTGCAGACCGTGGTCAGCAAGAAATAGGCTAAAGCGAGATTCAGACAAGCAGAAAAAGGAAGAAATAAATAAACTGATGCAGCTGCTATTTTTGTACTTGAAACCTCATCTAGAAGTGATTGTTTTGGAAAGAGAGCTGATGGAACTAATAGCTCAATTCCTTTGGAAATGTTTTTTTGGTGGTTGTTTCTAGTTTTAGACAAGAATCACGTTGCAGAAGCCATTGTTTTCTACCTCTGTGTCTAACTTGTGAATTGTATTAATGTATTTATTTTAATTTATTCCTGAACATTGGTGTACTTTGTTTAGCACACACATCTTTATAGAGAGGATACTGTAGTAGACACGTGGATAATGTCTGAATTACTCTGTATGAGGATAAGCATTCAAAGACTGTATACTATGTCCAAACCATTTCTACCTACAGAACATCTTAATGTTACTGTCCTAGTGGACAGTAGCCCTCATGATGATTGGTACCATTGGAGGTAGAATAATGCAGATGACAAATAAGAGTGGTCCTGTTTGAGACAGAGATGCATTGCCTAATTTTAGAAGAAGTTTGTACTATTTTCATAATTTTTTTCTCAATACATTTGCCCTAGCCTATCAGTCAGCTTTCTTTAACTGAAGCCAGCTAGCAGGTGACACTGCAGTTTATCAACTACTGAGAAATAAAATGTTATGCTTCAGAAAAATTCAGTTCTCAAAGTCCATCCCTAAAGATCAATAAAGCTTTTCCTCCAGCTAAAGCATTTCTAATGAATGCTAAGTGTTTAAATGCAACATTTTTCCTCAACTTTCTTAAAAACACAGATCTAAAAACTTGAACCTAAAGAAAAAACAAAAGCTACAGAGGATTTCAGATGAGACATGGTAAATCTGGTTGTAATTTTTGCAGTCATTAAATTGCCTTCTGCATTGGAGTTAATGAATAAATTAATCTATATTTTTCATGGACGCAAAGATGTATTACACAAAATCTTTAAAAAGTAAAACCATGATTCAATTTTCGGTCTTGCACAGTTACAGAAAGACCTTATATTCATTTTTCTGGATCTCCTGTTCCAAAGAAAACCATCACAAGACCTAGTTCTGTAGTGTTTTGTCGTGTTGGTTTTTTTTCCTACTTCATCAAAGGTGCATTATGTTTATTCTTTCAATCAGTTCCCAGTTAATCCAATTTAGTTTGGAATATCAAACAGTAAAGAACTTCTGAAATCCAAGTGTATCTTCATTAATATTTACATCTTTCCCTTTAAATACTGTGAAGCAAATTCCTTCAGGAGGTGGCAGGGAAGGAATCTGAGCAGTGCGGTCATGGAGGCAAAGGGTCTGCTTGTGTGAGGAATATCAAGTCCATCTTACTGCCAGACAGTGTACACATCTTCTCCACCTCCTCCCAGTACCTGCTCCTGTTGGTAAATATTTTCTTAGTAGGCTCCCTTTAGTTACACAAATATTTGTCTGAAGCAAATTGAAGCCAAATTCTGTTATCTTGTAGCAGAGAGAAATTTAATTGGTCTCTGGACAGCATAAACTTTTGAAGACTTTTCAAATCTTCAGGCTCTCTTTTAAATCATTACATTCTAGCTAACTTTCGTAATGAGAAGCACTTGTTTTTTCATCTAAGAAATTTAATGTGAATCACTGTTCGAAGCTGCAAATAATTATATAAACTTCCCTGCTGTTGTATGTTGTGTAAAATTAAACCTTCTGGAATTCTTTGCGATACCCTCTATTACTGGCTAGTGACATGTAGTCTACAGAGTTGGTGACTTAGTCCCAAAATTAATGAAGCAGTCAGGAAGCTGTCTGTTAATTTTTAGAATATTAATCATTTGATGCATTCCCCATCTTTCTGATCTTTTCCAGTGGCCTTTAGAGCTCTCTACCTCAAAGAGGTTCCTACAGCTTGCTGTTGGTGCAGAATGACACATTCAGCTATGCATGGAACCAATTGAGTCTGATAATTGTATTTTAGAAATATCCTTGAAAAAAATTCTGGGACCTTCATTTATGATTTAGAATCTGAGTGGTGAACTACCACACCTTAAAGATGAATCTCAGATGTCATTGAAGCATTACAAAACTGGAAATACATCTGTATAGAATTGCTACAAATTGGTGTGCTGGAGAATTTGTTCACTAACACATGTTTCTTCTGAAAAAAACGTGTGTAGTATAGGAAGCGGGGAGTGTATTTTGTTCATGATTATGCAGATAAAAATATGATGAAACTTGCTTTTCTTATTCTTTTTGAAACAGGGGTGCTTTTATGTTTCTGGATAAGAGTAATACTAATAGTCCTAATACTTTAAGAGGTCATGGAGCATGTCCTCGATAGAAAATAATTATCACTCCCTATTTTGATATACTGATCAAAAATAAGATGAAAAAAAATCTGAAAGAAAACGAGAAAACTGAAATAACTCATCAGCTTTCACTCAGAAATAATCTCAGAAGTTTGTGTTAGAAATGAGCCCATTCACTAAATTTAAAAATTTGGAATAACATTTATGTATTTTTGATACTTGGTGCTCTTCTTTGAAAATACAAAGAGGACATCATATTCAGCATATTTGGTATTTCTCTATTCGATAACTAGAAATACATTGACACTTCTGTTTCTAAGTAGCATTAACAAGGAGAGAGACTTTCAGAACTCTGTCAACTGTGTGAAACTGACTACTTGGGTATTTGCTTTGTCAGCTCTGTTTATGCAATAGAAGAAAAATAATTTTCATGAATGGAAATACAGAAATATAAGGAAGAGCCTGAAAGTTGAGAGGTCTTCTTCCCCAATTTTTTTTTTCTTGTCTGTCAGTAGGATTTATTTTTTAATACTGAATGATGAGGTTATGGTGCAGTGGGGACAAAATACTGTATTTTTTGTGGTCTCATTCAGACAACCAGTTTTGGTGTGCTAAAAGAGGGCCCATCACTGACCCCTTTTAAACCATTCCTGCCTTACATAGCAGCTGAAGTGATGCCTGTCCTCATGCATACATGCAAAGTACCAGTTTGTGTTCAACTGTTTATATAAAACATCTATTCTGTTTTCAGTTCAAAGCTGGTCTTGTCATTTCAAAGTTTAACTTTTGATTGCAGCTAATATTTTCTGGGAAAAGAACTTGCTATTAGGGACAGTGTTCTGTCACCTCTGGAAAAGAGACCAAGCAACGCTGTGGTGCATTTGGGTAAATTCCAGAGACAAGTTTATCCCTCAGAAGCTCGGAAGAACAAGAAAATACTAAAGATTCCCTTGTTCTTCAGCATTCTAAAACATGCAAACAAAAAAATTGCATTTCTCTACACTCGCAAGAGGAAGAGCTATTTGGAGAACCAATTTTTAAAGGTTATGGAAAAAGTGAAACTAACTTGTTTTGCTTGACCACCCAGATAGTAAAATAAATACTGTAATATTAAAAAAAAAAAAAAAATCATACTTTTTTTCATCAAATGATAGCAATGTGTAAAGCACCAAAATAAGGAAAGCTGTATTGCGCATGTATAACCCCCATTACATTTGCTTTTTTTCCATTGTAACTATCCTATAAAAATTGAATAATTAAATGTTAATGACAGCAGAAAAATCAAGAGCCTTCTGCCATTTGGAAACCGCCAGCATTTTCTAACAAGATCTCCCATCATGTCCCCAGCTGAGGGGGAGTCAATCCATGATGTGGCTCATTGATTTTTAGGAAATGTAAAATCTTTGTGGATAGAAGGCTCACTTTGCTGAGTTTGAAATCATGCATGACTGAAAACTTTCCAACAACAGCCTTCCTAACATCATTTATGGGTGGAACGGGGACAGTCAGCACCTATTACGCCCCCTTCCTTATCATCCCCTGCGAGACTCATTGAGGTTTAGAGATGAAAATGTGGAGCTCAGCATTAGGCTAAAGACTTAAAACGAGATGTGGGAGTCCTGACCAAAGCCAGCACAAACAGTGGGGAAAAAAGTGTAGTAATGATGGTAGAGATGGTATTGACAGTCTGACATGACAAATCCTTGTTCACCGGGGGAATGACTTGCAGTTAGCAGATAAGGTCAGACAGAGGATGTTTCTTACCAAGTCGTCATGGCTTGCAAAAAATATTGCTGGTTCACCCCGAGGCAAGTGGCCCTGTCATTCACACCAGCTTCTGCCGTTTTACCCCATTACAGACCTGACCTTTCTATCCTTGAAGCTTGTATTCTAACTATACATGTGTCTTGGGCATTGTAGATAAAGGGAGGAAATGTGAACTTCCATTATCTAAACAAACATTTAAATATCAAAACAAAACATCTAGTTCCTAAGTTTGTTCCATAAGGTATTTTAGTCAGTAAGTATCCTATAATCCCCTATTCCTCACTGTGTTCATAGCCATTTTGCCAAGAAAAGGTCTACATTAAGATATCAAAGATGTGTATCACGACATCTTTGATCTCCAGTATTTAGTTTTGGTTTTACCTCTGTGCTATTCCTGAATCATTCCATCAGTAGCCTGCATAAAGATGTGCAAGGATGTACTGAAGGTCATGGATCCCCAGGGAAAAGTCAGGCTGTGTTACACATAGTGGGGAAGATGACTTACTCTATGTGCTCCCAAAGGATAATCCCTTTCAGACAACCCATGAACAAGGCTCATGGATTTCTTGGTATAAATTCCTATTTATAGAACTGTGAAGTTTTGATGCTCCTTTTCAGTCCTGAACTGACTAGGTATAGAAATAAGAAGTGATTTTTGAACTCTCTAAAATAACTCAAGGTGATCCACCCCAGTTCCGTAGCTAGATGTCATAACTTCTTTGGATAAGTAACAACCCAACTCTCCATATTAATAATGAAAAGCAGCACTTTTTAAAAACTCCATTATTACCAAATCTATCTTCTGGTATTCACAAGAAATAAGCATTTTTTTTTTTTTTTACTTTTTAATTCTAATTTAACTCTTGAAAGTAAAGCATTACAGCAGTTGAATTCAGTGTCGTTTTTCTTTCTTCCTAGAAGCATCAGTGAGCATGCAGAGGATACAGAGAGATGGTGCAACTTCTTACTGTGCCTTATTTTACTAAAATCTTTTTCTTATTTAGGATAACATAGTGAAAGATTGAGCTTCAACAGAGAGACTGCTTTCAGGAGTATGAGTAAGAAAAGAATGTATTTAACATGTTCGCTTAAAAATAACTTCATATCCATTCATTTTATGGGAACTAACCCAACCATACACGTTTAGCACATATTCAGTTTGTGTACTATTTAGGATTTTGAGTTTTTGTCAAAGCATCACTGATTATTTTTTCAAGCCTAGTTTGAATAAAATCTCAGGACTAAAAGCTGGCGGTACCAAGGAAGGAATCATCCCCAACTTAAAAAAAAAAATGAAAGAAAAGAAGAGAAAAATTCACTTATAATAACTATATAGTTTATTGCAAAATGAAACAAAAGCAAAGCTCAGTGATATTTCCAGTGTACTCTCCTGGTACTCAACCCTCATATGTGTCATACCTCTTACAGTACTGCATTAAAATGCATTCACTTTCTGTTTTCATTGTCATTCTATTTTACTTTCTGCTTCTACTTTTATTTTTTGTTATTGTTTCTTGTTATCTCATTGACTTCCATGAGGCTTTGATGAATTTTGGTGGAAAAGACAGCATATATTCAAACTCCTAATCCTTTGAAATAGAGATTGCTAGGAAGAATGGGGCAAATTCTTATAAATATAAATTGAAATAGCTTGAAATGGAGTCACTAAGCTAGTTGTGTCATATTAGAGTTAAATTTTGCCAAATAAAAATGAAAATACAGGGAAATAGTGCAAAAGGAAAATTTAATTATTTCACTTTTCAAGTTTTATTTTTTTTTTTTTTTTCATTCTTAGTGGGGAACCAGCACATTCCCTTTAATAATTAGAAATAAATAACAATAAGAATGACACTGAGATTGAATGCTGAAGGAGGCTGGAGCCAGGCGTTGCCAACTGGAGAAGATGAATATGTGTGTTCATGCGCTCTGAAGGGAGGACAGAGATTAAAAGGAGAGGGTGGCAAGAGATCATTAAAAGATTGATTGAAAGCCAATGCCTAGAAAGTAGAATTAAGAATAACTCAGCAAAGAGAAGGAAAGCTGGAGAGGTGAGACTGCAGTGCTGGCAAGTGGAGGTGCTTGGCTGTCCGGAAGTGGAATGCTGCTATTCTGCAGGCAGAACTGTTGATCGATGAGAAGACAGCAGTGAGACCAAGGAAGAAACAAAGTGGACAGCCTGAAAAGAAGATATCTGAATCTCCCTATTTCTCTGCTATCAACAAAAATCTACATCAGCTTGCACAGAACTCATTTTTGCACAGTACCCTCACTGTCATTTACGAACACTTACATGTTTTCTATCCGTAGTTACTTAAAGTAGACAGGTGAGATGGAAGTGCATCTGGGTCAGAGAAGCATCATTAACTTCTTACAAATGTCATGAACCTTGATTGTGCCTATTTTTGCTGAAAAGGACCAAAATCAGATCTGCAAGCTAAGTCAGTATTGCCACTTACCTAAATGCATGCTCCTAAAGATCTCAGGAACCTGACAGTGAGGTTTTAACTTTCCTGTTACATTAAGATAGTAAGCAGTAACCCAAAATAAAGTGTATAGCATGTTTCCTAGAGAAATAATTTGAAATGGCCACTGAAATCTTTCAGTTGCTTTCCTTGTACCACAACATGAAAAGGCAGTTTACCATTTCACTGGGCAAAGCTACATTCTGGTGTCTGCCATATCTGCATAGTTAATGGTTCAGTCTCGCTGATTTTGGCTGTGTTATCATACTCCTTTTGTGTTATTTGCCAGTTGACTTAATCTCTTCAAAGAACTAATGAACTAGCATGCTATTGGGTTTGTTTCTCTTTATTTACCATTGAACAATAGTTTTTGTTTTGACTATTTGCTAGTCAGTATTTTTATGCGGTATAAATTGCATGCTTTTTTTTAATTAAAAATGTCCAGATTGTTTTCTGTTTCCTATACAGGGTTGAAAAACTTCCAGTCTTTTCATTATTTTAAAAGGTCTTTGGGTTTTTTTTAGCCCTTCTCAAAATTGTTAGTCTTCAAATACAGTTTGGCTGCTTCTTATGGGAGAGTGTAATTTAATATTAATACAGTTATAATCTTTTATAAGTATTATTATAGAGCCACCTTATATGTTGGAATAGCAAACTTTAAGCTTTTTAAAAAAAAAAATTAATTTTTTAATTTGCAAATGAAGAAATGGAAGAATCAGCAGGGTAGCAGGAAGCAAGACCAGCAGAGAAAAGAGAAAGAACAGCGTGGATGTTTTACAAATAGTTTGTTCTTGTGGAAGACCTCTCTCTTCCTCTGACACCCTTACATCCTTTACTTGGTGCACTGCATTTTTACTAAGTTATCTGATTGTAGTACCACTTACAATTTACAGAGGCAGAAGATACGGCATACAAACTTTAACTTTGTTTGAAGAAGACTGTTGCTTTAATTTAAACAAACAAAACAAACAAAAATCAAAAACCAAAACCACCAAAGACTGCCTTTTGTTGTGGAAGAAGATATTGGACAAATCCCATTCTGAAAACTCAGAGTATTATTCCTGTTTCCTGGCTGCCCTGAGAACAGTTTCACAGGCAGAGGCAGGGCACTGTGCAGTGCTGAAGGCATGAGGGGGCCCAGGGCTGCTCTGCACCAGGAGCCGGGCTCTGAGTCCTTGCCCGCGCACAGTGTCCAGTGCTGCCACTGCTGTGCTGTTCAGAGCTGAGCAGGCCGTGCCGCTGCCCTTGGGTCTTTCCCTTTCAGTTCCAGAGTTGGCTCCTAACTGTTATTTGCAGCAGTGCAAATTATAACCTTTAGGTATAATTTAGATATATAGAATATAAAGATCTCACAGTGTATAAAAATAGATCTGTTTCAAAACAATTGTATTGCTAAATCCAGAAACATTCCTTATCCGTGATTTTGAAGACATACAGAATTCATGCCATTTCTGTATGCACCAGAAGAACTTGGAGATTTTAGTTTATATAATTAGAAAATGTGCAATATATGTAGATGGCCTGTCACAGACACTCTCCAAATACTAACAATTTTATACGCTGATAATCCTGAGATGAAACTGTTGAGATTAGCTGTGGAAATACAACTTTCGCAGGAACAGTATGCTTTAGAATCCAATTTTGAATCCTTTTTGTTATGAAGGTCACCTGCTCTTTAAAGTGGAGCTTCTCATGTTTGTGTAATTGCACCTTCACTTTGTCAGCTCACCCTGGAGAGCATCATAATGGAAGATGAGAAAATATGTTAAGGGTGAAAAATCACTGAGAGTCCTCTGCTGCTATTGTTTTAAAATATGTGTGAAGACATATAGAGAAATGCTTTTGTAACTTGTCATTTTAATTTTAATACAAGCAGAGTAACACTTTCCTCGTATTCACATGCATTTGTTAACTTAAGGCCACACTAAGGTCATGAAAGAAGGAAACACAACCACAATGAATTTGGCTATTCTAGTAGCAGAGTTTTCCTCTATTACTCACTCAATTATTTTTGGTTCAAATGCAATATTTGGTGTTGAGAACATGCATTCATTGAACAGGAGTCCAGAAGGATTTCAGAGGCTGATTGCAATTCACTGTTTTGCAGTGAAGGTTGCAACATTGCCTATTTATTGCAAGCCTACTAAAGAGGTAGAGACGGATGACTTGGGATCTGTGATATGCTTTTTGGATACTATTATTTTAGTTATAGAGCAGGGAAATCACAACTTTTCAGTGCCAACATATGACCAAATTATGCATACACATTTGTAAACACCAATTAAAATGCTGAACACATGGCAATAGAGATTTGAGAAACTTGTCTGACAAAGATTTTAACAAGTTCACTTCTGAGAGCAATCCAACTTTCGAGGCAGCCTACTTCCATGTAGGAACCTTCATTAAAGTCTACTAAAATCATCAAAAAAGACTCCCTTCCATCTGGATGATCATTCAGTTAAATCGTCTTCTGCCCTATGGCAGATCTTCACCTTGCAGTGCTGAGCCTTAAATGAGACTCTGAGTCTGGGATCAGTGAGGTCTGGGAAGCAGGGATAAGCACAACAGAAGAAATAAAAATAACCAGAATATGATCTGAAGTAAAGCTTTTGCCTTCCTTTGCAATAGCTTACATTTTCTTATACACTCAATGATCTCTTTGTGCACCTGAAAGACTATCTCTTGTATAGAAAGCAATGCGCGTTTTATAGGTGTTCTCCAGCTTTGTATGTCCACATCATGCAGTCCCATGCCTCAGCTAACTAAGAAGGCAAATGTGATCAGCATAGTTTTTAGAATGGGGAGCAAAAAATCAGTTTTGGTCACAAAGCTTTGCTGTAATTGTTATGCTTTTTTGATGCAAATTGATCTCATAATTCACAGATCACAGGAAAATCTACACCGTACAGTCAGTGGTCACTGATGAGATCTTTATCTATCAGAATTTTGACAACAAAAGGTAATTATGGAGTGAACTGACATCTTAAACTGCAGTGGAAGGCAATAAATTCAGACTGGGAACTTAAATTCTCCACATCAGAACAGCATAAAATACCTGTATTAGATTAAGATACCCCTTCAAGTAGAGGTCAGGTACTACCAAGACAGGAGAAAAATCCACTGCATTTATTGCTTATATTACATTTAAATTATAAATAAAGCCCTTTGTCAGAAGTGTATGTCATGAAAGGAACTTAACAGTACTTTGGATTTACATTAATTCATTTATCATTTTAAAAGGCAAAATATTTATCATATTGAACTCAATTGAAGAGAACAAATTTGGTGTAAAGATAGTTATTTAAAGAGAGATAATGCTTTATCTCTGCCAGTAGTAGCAGTATATGTCAGAAAGCCAATCAATTCTGTCATGGACCAGGATGCTGCTTAAGAAATGGAAAACATCTCTCATGGCAGGTTCACTATTCATTTCCGACATCTGGCTGGTATGATATCGAGCGCTTGAATTTATAACAGATGTTTGTCTGAAAATACAGCGTTACGCTTTCATCCACTGAACCTCCTTCTGAGTTTCCTCACAGTTGATTTGTGTGATATTTTTATTTTTAAGTAAAAGGTTTATGTTAGAAGGCTTTCTTATAAATGCGTGGTTATGCATAGATAGCCATTCTTCTGCATGTTTGTAAAAGCTGTACAATATCTACCTAGAAGTATTTTTTGTGTGTTACAGGACAAAGGTTGTTTGTTGCTTTTTTTTTTTCATTTGTGTTCAATTAAGCATTTTTTCCCCCTTAGATGGGTAGAAGGGTAAATGTAGCACTTAGGAACATGATTTAGTGGGCAATATTGGTGGTAGGTAAATAGTTGGACTAGATGATCTTAGAGGTCTTTTTCAACCATAACGATTCTATGATTCAATGATTCTACCATAAGGCAATCAACCTATTAGAGATCTCTGCACTTGTTTCAAGCTTATTTGTGACAGGGTTCTTGTCTAGATTCGTCCCCTCCTCAGCTTTACATGTAAAGCTGAAATGATAAGTTTGGACTTGTCGAAAATGATCAGGACAGCTTGCAGACATTTCAAACCAGTAAAATTCATTCTTCATAAATACTGAATTATTTTTTAAGAGAGTGTTGGAAAAACTTGTTTGTTCTATAAAAACCTTTGTGTCAGCAGTGCTCCAGATGGATTTACAACTTTTTCTTCTAGAGGGCTTAGCATATTGATCTTTACTCACTGCACAGAACAGTAGCCCATCATCGGTAAAATGCTAAATTGGCATTTCTCTTTTAGAACAAGTTAACAGTTCATTAATGTGGGTTTTCCCATTGACTTCTGTAACACCCAGAATCTTATAATATGGGGAAAAAAAAAAAAAAGAAAAAAAAAAAAAACCGAGCAAAAATAGCGATGTGTTAATTAGGGATACCTGCACATTTGTAGAAACAGAATGTGTAATTCATGCAGTTTCACTTTTTGAGATAATTGATGGCATTTTCTAAAGACAAAACCATGAATAAGTAAATAAAAAGGTGAAAAAATTGAAATAAAGGCACGGCATAAAAAATACAGGTCTGTCACATGCTGAAGTTGTAAAAGGTTTTAAAAAACTACTTGGGAGCAAAGGAATGAGTTAAAATATTATGTCATCGGATCTGCAACATAGCAAGAGGAAATGACAGTGGAAAGATGAACAACTGAATTTAAACACAAACAATACATATAGAACATTTAAAAAAAAAAACAAAAAACAAAAAGTAGGCTGATTTTTTTCTGAAATACCCTTATGGAGCTTTTTGTAACTTGAAATCAATCTCTCTTTCAGGCTAAACTGTGTCTTTTCTCAAACTAAAAACAATGACATGAAGAAAGAGAGTCTTTGTCTTCAAGTAACAAGTAATTTGGTACAGCCAAAGATTTCTTTAAGCCTACCACAAATGGAAAGTATTTCTAATGCAGGTGAAAGAAAAGAAGGTGTTAAAAGCAAAGAACATGAGTATTCAGTATGCTATTAAATGGAGTACAAGCAAAATTCTAAGTTTCACATCTGTCTCACAAAAACAAACATTTCTGTGAAGCCCTTGTCAATCTACAAAAAAGAATAGAACATTTGAGTGCTTCTCAGTTGTGCAGAGACAGACAATAAGCAGTATAGCATCGTTTGAAGAGATAAATGTATTTACAAAGAAAGTCTACATTATTAAATTGATTTTTATGGAAACTTCTGGGGAAGTTCTTAAACTTAAGGCTCATTCTGAGCTTGTTATCTTATTTTGAAACTGACAAGGCTTACATATCCATGTTATTAAACATTGTTCAATGTATTATTATTTATGGAGTTTCCAATAAGGGGGAAAAAAGCATTTTGAAGCTTTTACATCAAGTCAGCTCCATTACAAGGGATGAAAGCAGACTGGAAGAAGACATCTTTCCTGAGCTGAGGAAGCAGTTCATTCCTCTGTTCCTGCAGCCTGGTGAATGGCTGTCCCAGACCTGTTCAGTATGGATGCTACCCAAACACAGGAAGCCAAGGCAGGTGCCGCAGCTGGGGATGAACAACCCAGTTCAATGTCTTGGAACCAGAAGTGCACAGCAGAGGTGCTAAAACTGACCCCATAATGTTCAGGAGTGCTGAGCAGCCTCAGTACATTACCACGCATGCTGTCCCTGTTTGGCTCCTCCAGGTACCAACGCCAGCTGCACCCCAGTGCTGGCAAGACCTGAGCTGCCCTGGTCTGCATCAGTTTTCATTCTGCATCAAAAGGTAATGCATACATACAAAACCAGGCCGCACACTGTGCACACTCAATTACGTATGTACAGAAATTTAACAAGTGGCTTCAGGGACATTGTCTAAAGTAAGTATTTACTTCCTCTGAAATAGCTCTATTTGCCAAAATAGAGGAGTATGCCAAAACAAGAAAGTTCCATTCCACCTAAATAGAAAGGTAAACTGTGGCAAGAAGCAGCACCTGAAAGTAACCACAGGACAACCTTGCCACATGCTAGTAGCAGGAATCATCACAGAAGTTATTTGCTGCCTTTACAGTGCACACATCAATGACACTGTCTCTCTTTTTGTATATTGGAATGCTTTGAGTTGTGCTGTCATTAAAAACTGTGGTAAGAGAAGGAGGAATTGTCTTCAGACAACCTTGCCTTTTGAGCCCTTCAGCTTCAGCCAAGCCCCGGGAGACGCATGAGGGCCAGATGAGTAAAGATCTCACTTCTCAAGGAAAGAAGCATTTTGGTAAAGTTTTGGTTAGGATCACCACTGAATGAAAAGCTGCACTATGAATTGAACTATATTGCCAAGGAGTCAACAGAGGAGAAAGTAATTACAAATGAAAATTGAGAAAATAATAGTGCTCATATATGTTCTGCAGCTTGCAAAACTGCATGGTTTTTCCTTTTGTCACTTAATTTCCCTTCTGAGAACATATTCAGAGTTCACACCTATTCCTGGGCGTATCAGCTGCTTCCAGTCACCGCAGTGACAGAGACTTAATCTGCTTGTAATGAATCAGCAGATCCCCTGTACTGGAGAAAAGGAAGGGGTAGAAAAGTTGTTTGCTTAATGACAAGCTTCTTAGATGAACATCAACTGGCTACAGCATAGTGTAGATTAAGCTAAACTGATACTAACTTTTACTTTCCTAAAGTAAAAATTTTACTTTAATACATAGATTTTAATTTTACCATATTCAGAAACATTAAGCAGTCATTTGCCTCAATTTCTGCTGGTTGTTTTTGACCATCAGTACATACTCAAAAACTTCCACCTTCTCCTGACTTGAGTAGTATTTTTTTTTAACCAACATCATTATTTTGGATTTTTCTTCTAACCTTCCTACTAGATCACCATCTGTTACAGCAGCTGCATATTTTTATGAAGTAAATAAGAGGCTGACTTTATATTTAGGAGGTGATTCTGTGAGAAGCCTGAATCCTGTGCTTAGCAAAGACCTGAGCAGAGGATGGAGCCAGTGAGAAAAGTGCTGCTAAGCCACTGCTGTCATCCCAGCAACACGTGGTTATGTTCCTAAAACCAAGTGGTAACCATTGCAGGAAGGGCATTAGAAGTAATGGTAAGCAATAATTTTATGAAATTCTTGCATAACCATTTGTATAAAAGTGATCATAGGATTCATCTCGAAAAGCTTAGAAGAACTCAGGGACAGAGACTGATCTGAAGGAGTAAAATAATGAAGTGGCTGATGGAAGTATGCATCTTTTTCTAAGAAGCACAGAATTAACCACATTGGTAAAATACAGATGCTAAATGTCAAACATTTACTATTTGGAGGTTAAAAAAAATTAGGTGTAAAGGCTGCTAGGAATGTAACAGTAATACTGTTGAATTAGGATTTCCTGGGCGTATTTTTGCAGCAAGTGTCTGCAAGGGGGGCTATAACTAATCCATTCTTTGTGCAAATAAGGTGATGGGAAGTAAATTGGGTGCTGTTTCTTCAATGTATAAAATTATGCCTTGTTTGAGAAAACAGCTATTTCAGTTTTGATGTACCATTCAAAATTATTTTTTACTGAGAAGTAAAAGCTTGTGATAGAGTTGGAAGGATTTCCTTTTTAGAAACCTCTCAAAATTAAAACCAGTCACAAAATTTAACTTAAAATAACAGATGGAGTTGGACTAGATGACCTTTAAAGGTCTCTTCCAACTCCAAGGATTCTTTGATTCTATTATGCTATGTCTGACAACCACTCCCTCCACCACCTTGATCAGTGAGCAGATACAGTTATGGCTGTATGTGCCATCAGAACATATGGAGAATGAGACACTCTTATGCAGAAATCTGTTTCCTATGTTTTGTTTATATATATAAACAATATGTATACTCACATGAAAATAGAGAATTCCAAATACATATATATATATATATACACACACACATAAACTAAATGCATATGCAATTATATGTATTTGTATGTATTGCTAGTAGTCACTGATTTTTAAGCGGTTCAGGAAATCAGTTTGACTCTGGACCATTTGAATCTGCTTTGAATAATAGAAAAAATTGCTGATTTCCACTCATATGCTTACATTGAGAGAACTCCAGTGCATCTTCAGGCATTCAAGTGACTCTGCAATAAGAACTAATTGCAAGAGTGTCAAACGAATACCATGCTGCAAGGAGACTAGTTCTGCTTCAGGCACCTCTGGACCAAATTCAGTGCCAAATCTGGAATTTCTCGATAGCTGCATTTTTTTGTAGAAACTTATCTAGTCATGTGAATAATCAGTTTCCTTAGTAACATTTATTTTACTAGTAAGAACTCAGAAGAAGAAAGCCCCTTTTCTTTTAGCTACTTTTTCAAATAGTTTCAAATTAGTTCATGACTCTGTACAGACTTACTTCATCTACAGATGACAAAAGCTTTCTTGATAGCATGAATGTAATTTTCTGTTAATGAGAACTCTTGAGATTTCTAGCATGAGCAGCAAATTTGCAGAAATGGTTTCTTTTTTTTTAAGTATTCATTTTATGAAATAAGACTAAATTAGGTCAGACGTGAAAGTTTTAGGCTCATATCTCTAAAAAAGAACATAACTGTTGTCATTCACTAGTACTAATGTATTTTAATAACGTTCAGCTTAAATCTCTAAGCATTCCTCTTTGCCTCTATTTAAAACTACTATAGTATAAATGAAATACTGGTCCCATGTTTCATGGAAAGCTAAAAGTGAGTTTAAACCAGGCTGGTTGTCCTTCAAAGATAAGTTTTACTGCACATTTTGCAGTGCTATTAATAAAATTATTTAAAAATCAATAATGAGATTTGTATTCCTACTTAACATTATTGAGCTTGTTTTTTAATGCTGTTTTTTATTTTCATTATTGAAAATGCCCTTTTTCTATACTTGTGTAACCAGTGCCCCAAAATGAGAAGGAAAAAAGGATGCTTTCCCATCACATTTTATTGTTTATTTAGAGATCTGAAGAATTGAAGAGTTGTAGCTATTGATAATTTCCCTCTCATTGCAAACACCATTCAAAAATTTTCAACAAACTTATATTTCTGTAAAAAGAAAAAATAAAGCCTCTTATTTGCCCATTAAACTATGAAGATTTCAGTGCAAATGAACTGTATGTAGCAGCTTTGTGATCATAATTAGTGTTCATTCTCAACACAAAAATTATGTTTAAAAAAGTTCAGCCCTCATTTGTAATATGTAATCAGTTTCAGATTGATTTTCTTCTGCTGATAATATTCAAAATAGGATTTACAAGATTTCAGTGACCAGCTGGTATTCCGTCATCCAAAGAGGTCATTCCTCTGTCTTCTAATGCAAAAAAAAGCTATCTTAATTAGTGTCTTTATGAGATAATTGTAGAATGGCTCTTAGGGTGACTGATGAGAATTTCTGTTTAAA